CCGGCGGCCCCGGCCGCGGAGCCCCTCCGCCGGAGAGCGAGGGGGGCCCGCCAGCTGCGGTAGTCGCGTTTCCCGGGGAGGGAGGGCGCCGGCCGGCCGGGCCGGAGGGCGTTGTGGTAGCGCAGAGGCAGGTGGGCAACATGCGGGGGCGGGTGGGGAGAGCGGCGGCGCTGCCCCGCTGAAAGAGGCCTGGCGGGCGGCTCAGCAGCCAGGCGGTAGCGTGGCCGAGTGGTCTAAGGCGCTGGATTTAGGCTCCAGTCATTTCGATGGCGTGGGTTCGAATCCCACCGCTGCCAAGTTGTTTTGTCCCCTCCGCCGCCGCGGCGGCTCCTTTTCGCCGCCCGATCGGCGAGGCCGCGTTGGCGGCGAGCGGGGTCGCCCGGAGACGGTACGGCCTTCGTCGGCCGGGCCGGGCACGGCGCCGCTCGGGAGGGCGGGGCGGGTTGCCAGTCGCTCACCTTAAAATTGAAGTAGAGAAAGTTGTGGTATGTACCGAGGAAAGTGGCCTGTCTTTTGGCGTAAAAAAAAAAATCAGAAATAGAAATTTTGGCAGTTCTGCCTTCCCGTGCTGTATCTGGGTTACTGCACCCTCAACCCGCAGGCCCTGCACCTGGCCTTTGCTGCTTGCCCCAGACTGAGGCAACTGAGGTGAGGTCTAAGAGCCCTCACCTTCTCAAAGGGTTCTCAAATCCATCCATGATTACACCCCCCCACACCACCACCTTGATTCCTCTAGATCTCCTGTCGCATCCCTAGTCCTGTCTCCTTTCCCAACCTCTCTCTTTATGCTCGCATAGTGCTCTTGATTGTTCCCTCCCCATGTTACAGGCTGGAAAAGGTGCAGAGAGATTTCTGTGATAAATCGCCAGTGTGAGTGCTGGATGGGAGGGAGTGGGGCCTCCCAGACCAGCCCGTTTTAGCTGAACAGTAATTCAAAAACACATTGTTCACTTTAGCTACTGCAGAGATTTGTTCAGTACAGCTGCTATACTTAAGAAATTATGTGCAAAAACATAGTTGTACCTAAAGCTCAGCTGATAGGCAACTAAACTTTATTGTTAGTTTTTGTCCTTCATGACTACAGGAGGTAAACAAAGCAGTACAAAGATCAGTGCAACCCACAGTGGCAGATTCCTCTACTGTGACATAAATGCACTTTCAGGTAACTTAGTATCTTCCAATTTAACTAAAATACACAGGTTTGACTCATGAAAAACCATACCTGCACGTACCCCCTAGGCCTCCAAACTGGTGCTAGGTGCTTGCTGTTACAGATGGCTCTGCACCCCAGGGGTAAAGCAGGGAGCAGTTCTGGAACAGTGTGCACAGAGGCACAGGACTGACTGCAGCAAAGTTTCAAGTATGCTTTTATTTTCCCCCATATGCAGTGATACAGCTAATTCACAAAAGAAGTTCACATGGTGTGAACTCTCTCTGTAGGGCTGGTATATGTTATTTACAGTAATTGGTTCTGTCCCTCCCTTTGCTTGTTCCTCAGTTCCCCAGGGCAGCAGCTGTGGTCAATCCTTTTAGCCGTTTTTCTTCACCAGTGAAGCACTGCAGGCTGATTGTAGCTCTTGTTCTTCTGCAGGTTCTCTTTTACTTCAGCAATCAGTTTGGAAACGTGTTTTTTTGGTGTGAAATAAACAGATGCAACAATCTCGACTCCAACGTGTTTCAGTGATTTGGCTGTACTTGTTAACTGTATTTCTCAAGTACAGCTGCTGATATGTTACGATATTGTTTTTTAAATCTAAAAATAATTGCCTGTTTATTGCACTGGGGCCAGTAACTATTGTGGAGATTAGAATGATCCAGGTAGCAGTACTGTGACTGAATATGTGCAGTTTAGGTAAGTCAGTGTTGTGTTTCTTTAAAAAAATGCAAAACTGAGAGGCCATCAAAACTTAAAGAAAGAAAGATCAAACTTAAACTAAAAATTAAAGAAAGCAACACTTTGAGGAAGCTGTGATGATTCTGGGCTTCTGGTCTTGTTTTAATGTAATGGTCCACAGAATCAGCAAATGCAAACTTCTCTGGGCTGTACCCCAGCTGACTCCGGGCCTTGTCTATTCGAAACGTATGAGTTATAGAAATGTTCTGTACCTATAGGGCAAGAGTTAACATACAAAGATATGAATACATAGGAAATTGGAACAAAGTCTGTAAATGGTAGCAAAGACACAGTTAAAGGAAATGTAAAATAAAAAAAAACAACACAACTTACATCAATGTCCTAGTCACAGTCAAATTATTTTTAAAATTGTTCACTCAAAAGGAGAACCTTGAAAGCCCAGAGAGGCAGTAAAAGCTGCAAAGCAGAATCTTCTAGTCTTGAAAACATCCACAAAAAATGTTCTGCACTCCCGTTTATGTACCTAAGGAGGCAGATAAAAGCCGTCTCTTGGGTGCCTAAGTATCTTCAGAAATTAGGGCACAACTGACCAGCCAAAGCCATACAGGATACTGAGCCTTGGAGGGAAGGAGCTGAATCAGCCTCGCCCAGATTGTAAGCATAAGCTCTTATCTTTTCAAAGATCATGGTAACGAACATAATATATTGCCTAAAATGTACATGATGCATACGTTTGCCCTGGAAACTGGAGGCTGAGGTAGTACTGGGTGGATTTTACTTTCTACTGATTTAATTTTAAATTGTACCTCAGTATTAACATGTATGCATGCATCCTGTGAGAATTAAGGGGAGTTTACAAACAAAGACTTTTTACCTCATTTCTGGTCAGCAGTGGGGACAGTTCAACAAATGGCTTCAGCATCAGATGAAGGTATTCCATTATCATGGCTGCATAACAAAAGATTTCTACTTGAGGTAAGAATAGTAAATTGCTATGCCATTATGATTTTGGTGTATCTCACACTGTGTATGATAATGAAAGATAACCACGTACCTAAGAGCTCAGGGCACTATTACTAACATCAGCAGGACTACTTGCTCACAAGGGGTTGGGTTTAATACTTCAGGCAGCCTGAATTAGGGTGCTTGTGTGAAAAGGGTTTGGAGGGTTGGTGACAGGTCTAGTGAAAAGATCATGAGGCTTCATTAAAAAAATGGTAACAAAATACTCCAAGTTGGATTCTGTCTTAGCTGCACATGGGGGTTCATTCTGGAGAAAGCATGGGATACAGGGGAACAAGAAATCTACCCATGCAGCAAAGCAGATACTCTTCAGCGTATTTCATGAAGTCATCAATTTTTACATTTATCTTTTTATATTTATACCATTAACTCCACAAAGTTATACCTCTGTTAAGTCCTACATAAAACCTGTTTTTGTGGGAATTAAATAAGAGATAATTCTGATTTCACCACACTGCATAGAGCTGAACTTCACCCCTAACTGCTGCTCACTAGATGGGCCCATAGTGTATTATTTTTATACATGAAAATGAAAATTGTGGGCAAATTAAAAACAACCAATATCATATTACAATCAGGAATGAGGGTAATGTGGACAGGAAAGAGAAGTGTTGATAAAATATTTTTACCTGATGCATAAACTAAGGAAGTAGGAATACGTATCCGTGGTTTACTGCAACCTAATCTTTCAAACTGAAAGATTTAAGAAACAGTGAAAAAAAACAGAAACCTCAAACAAGTTTTAAAGTTTCAACACAGAAGATATTTGTGGAAATATTTACTGATAAAACAGAAAAATTCATCATTGCTGTTACTATTTGAGTTTTCGTTTTCGAGGGAATTCCAGTTAAATGTCACATGCAGACACTATGTAATTTTCAAGTGGCAGTCTTAAAAAAAGGGAAAAAAAAGTTTATAACAATTGATCGAAATGTCATGGTGTGCTGACACCTAATTTAACATTGTGACATATTTGCGGTTTTGAGCCCAGCATTAACAATAAAATGATCTTTTGAAAAGAAAGTATATTACACATTAATAATTAGGATTTATATTTTTTGTCCACCCAAAATAGCCACCGTTAACAGATGCGCACCCAAGAAATTAAGATAATGGCAACTCGAAAGAGGATACTCGTTTAGATGGTCCTTCGGCTTGGTGAAGACAGTTGCTTTAATGTAGTATTTTAGGTAGGCTTTGTTACAGCGCTAATCATGCTGAACTTCAAGCAGGAATTAAACTCACATCAGAACTCTTGCACCCAAAGCAAACATACCAAATGTAACATGCACACAAAAGCTGGAGTTGTATACAGTCAAAGAAATGAATGTATTTGGAGATAAAGTATATATTGCACATACAAGTGGAGTTAACCATTCAAAAAGGTTGAATTTTTCGCCATCATTAATGAAATACACCTGGCCACTCTGTTAAAGAGGTAGAGAAGAGGCAAGTTAGCAAAAATAATACTGCATATATATTGACTTCATTTTCTTTATCTCACTCCTTATGAATAGCTTAAAAATAATACAGCAATATAAAATATGCATGGCTGTACGTACAAGTCAACAAACTGTCTACATGTGTTTCAATCATTTGCACTAACATGTGCAATGAAATTGGTGGACAAGTGGTTTATGTGATTAACATGCCTTGGTATAAATTATGTCTAATAGATGTGCTATACAGAATGGCTACACTGACTATACAGAGATTACCAAATGCACTGGAAGTGGTGCCATTTCTAACTTGTGCTGTTAACACATATTCACCAAATGGTGGGACATGTTTTGCTCTCGGTCTAGTGAAGACTCATTGAAATCCATAAGACTCCATCTGTGCAACCAAGGCATAAGTTACCTCTTTCCCTTTTGCTTTTAGAGTTTTAGAAAAAGTAGTTTAATCTACTTTGAAAATCTTTCTAACACACTTTAAGGGTAGTGCTTCTAGGTCAAATAAAAAAACTGTGTTTACAAGGAGCAAAACAGTTGCAACTATTTTTTAAATCAATGAACCCAAATGAAATGTGCTTTTATTTGCATATGGTATGGGAAGAACTGATTATCACAGTTCAGAACATTAAGTCTGGATCTATATACAGGGGAACAGGGGATGAATCTGCCTGAACTTCCAATTTAATTTCTGACATAGCAAACATTTTTTGTTCATCTTCCAGAAATGGCAAATACTACATTACAAAAATGCAAAGGTAGAGATATTCTTACAGAACTGAATATTCCAACTCTTAACACACTGCACAGCCAATGCTGCCAGGTCCCACACTGTTCATAGCACATTTGCCAACTAAAAACACAGACAATAACATAAGCTAAAGGACAGTAACACAAACAGTAATTACTGCTACTACAGTAGTTACTATAGTACAGGATACAGTGGCAGAATTCACTGTCAGATAAAAACTGTGGTGCTTGTATTGTTTACTTACAGCTATGTAGTTCTTTTCAGGAGTGAGAGCTTCAGCAGCTAGGATTTGAGCTTGTACAAGATTCTCTGCATGCACCCAGTTCATTTTAGCAGAAGGATCTCCAAACTTGAAGCTAAGTAGCCCTCTCTCAATATTCTTCTGTGGACATAAACAAACATGAAACCAAAGCAAAATGGGTTTTAAAATGAGGTACAGTGCACTCTCTTTTCCAGCTAAATGTAGGTTTGTCTCTACTTAAAAAAATACATGAATCAATTAAAAAGAATCAAGAGAAGTGCAGAAAGCTCTAAAAATATTGCTCATGAGGAAGGATCAAAGAACGAATTGAACACAATATGTCCTCAATTTACAAAAAATACAAGTCTGTTCTAAGGATAAGTAAAATATTGTATAGAAAGGTAAGATACAGTTCTGAATGGATCAAAAGTATTCACAAAATTGGATCAAATTTAACAAATAGCTTTGGCTGGGAAAAAATGGAAAGTAATGCTAGGTGTTATATTTTTCATTTAACAGGTACATTTTAGAAACTGCAAAATGTGACGGTTGCATAATGTCTTAAAATGGGCTCATAACAAATAATCTTAAAATCTTAAATGGAAGTTTAAAAAGACTGTATTTTTTTCAGAGGCTAAAGCAAACATCTCAGGTTTAACTAAAATGACATTTGCCATTCTTAAAAGATATTTTATTTAGAAGATGATAAAGTATATTTTGGCTGACTTTAATGTAATTCCCTGCCTCAGCCACAAAACAAAAATATGTATTACGTGGTAAGCTTGAATCTATTCGTTCCTCAAAGCTGTGTGTAACTTTATATTGTACTGATGCTTTTAAAATAACTGACTCATATAATTTTATAGGGATCATATTCTAAACACTGTACTAGTCCTACAGCAAGTGAAAAAGGGTAAAACATAAGCACCTCAGCTGTTTGCCCTTCAGTAACCTAGTGTACCAGAAGGTGCTTCCCACTCCGTCACTTGTTTCATTGCATAGTGAAAGCTGTTGAGACTGGAAATAAGATATTTTGTCGTATCTCTTTTCATTAATATTTTAAACCATTTGGTGTAAGTTGCATGCAAACAGACATTTGAAATATCATAGATTGGCCTGAATCTTATAATTACAGTAAGCATTAAATTATAAAGCTGGACCTACATGTGTTTGTATTTTAAAAAAAGGCTTTTTTAATGTACTGTACATTCTTTACAGATACAGTATAGTGCCTGTTAACAAAAGTTACAATGTCCTCAGCAGACAACTGAATTGTTGAATTGCTGCCCAGTAAGAAGGTCAGTCAATTTATAACACAAATAAGTGATGCTGCTGCATATAATAGAAGATTCTGCTGATTAAAAAAAATAAAATACATACTGCTAGCCTTGGCAAGTGTCTTTGCTCTTGTGGTCCATAGATTCCTGGTGGGCGAAGAACACACGTATAAAGTATTCCACCTCCTAGAAGAATTGATAAGACCATTCTTAAGTGACTTTCATGTGACCATGTTATATCTTTCTTTGTATGAACCAAAGACTGTGGTAGCAGAACTTACTCTGAAATAAATGAACTTCACCATCTTAAAAAATAATACATACCAAAAGGTGTTGAATTAGTAGTTGGATATTAAGTTGGCAGAATCAGAACATGCAAAATAGCAAGGCAAGATTCAGAGAAGTCCTGCCAGCATAGTCGGATTCCTAGAAATTACCAGATATTTCAAAATCTCTTTATAACCAGTTGTTTGTCTCTGTGCCAAAGCAGTGAATGAACGTGCCAACTGTGGTGATGAGTTTGCTGAAGTGAGCAAGTTATTGGTAGGAAAGTGGAATGAAACCAACTAATCTTAGACAAAATTATTGATGGGAAACAGTGACTCACTAGCAGTACAAGATAGAGCTGAAAGGTTCTCAACAGTAGGCACAACCAGCTCCCACTAGAACTCCTGTAGAAGCTCGTGATAATTTCAACGGGAGAAAGTAAGGACTATCCTGAAAATCCAATCACTTCCCAAGTATTATCAGTTGGCTGGTTCATCATCTGCTAATAACGGTTCGTAATAGTACTTGAAAACATGCAAAATACTCAGTCCTGCTATGGCACAGGATCAAAATGGGATGTTTGGAGCACTGACTGGTTCTAATTTCATTGACAAAAGCAGAACTCTGTATTGCTCCTCAAATTAAGAGGGTCTTTGATGTGAACAGCTGCTGAGGAAATAAGGAAAAAAACCTTTATTTTTTAAACAAAATAATTCTATTGGGATGGAATGCCCATCAATGACTTTATATCTCTTTATAGCCCTCTGCCAGTATCAAGTGAAGAGAGTCTTTTCTGTAAGTTGTCCACAGCTAAATTTAGCTCAGTATCACTTGGTCACATAGCGTCATGTTGCACTTTACATTAATTTGCTTTGCACTGGCAGTTATAGTATCTCACAGTTGAGCTTAAGTATTCAAGTGTATAACTGGCTTCCTCAACATGGAAAACTTTGGGAAGCACTAATAAATAATTCCAGGCTGTAGTATCAGGTAGCTTCTTCAGATTTTAATATATAACTTGGGGCGGGGGGGATGGATGGACAACAATTTAATCAGCATTCATGTTTTACTTATGTTGCATAATACAGTGACATTAAACACTTCTTTTTGTTTAATTTATAGCTGTCTTCATCTTTTCAATTAACATACTGAACTCATTGCTACCATGCTAAAAGCTTTTATGGACACTATGGGAACTTAAAAACAATTAAAAGTGATTTTTAAGTTAAAATCTTTTCGTTTGTGAGAGAGCGTAGATAACTTGATTTCATAATTGCTGGACAATCTTGTCCACTAAGGATTGATACAGGATACAGGATGTTAGTGAGGAAGAAGAAAGGGAGGAGTAAATTCTACTATGAATTCATGGTAAGAAAAGTACCTGCTAGTGGAGTTCCATTAGCTGCTAGTACCATTTGTTCTGCAATTGATTTGGTTCTGGAATAATGATCAACATGCTACAGAGAAAAAGCAAATATGTTTTTATCTATTCTTGAAACGACAGGGCAGAGGGGCATCTCTTCTTCACTAGTTTTTACTTAGCAGATGGCAACAAATACCTCAAAATACAGAAGCTGTGGGGTATTAGTTTAGGATAAAACATACATATTGCTAGGGTAAGCAAGCATTTCTGTTTATGCAAATCCAGTTAATTAATTTCAGCACATTTGAGAAGCAATACATATATGTATGCTTTGAATGCTGCCAAGAATGTAATTGACCACTACTTTGTAATCTGGATTTCTTTTTCAGGTAACGGAAGAGTCAAAAGCCAAGTTTTGAAGACATGATTGGTCTGAATTATCCTGTTCACTTTCTTGTGGCACTGTCCCAGAGAAAATTTTATTTGACATATAATTCAAAATATTACTCAATATTTTCTCTATCCATCTCTACTTCTTGAAAGACTGAAATACTTGATGGAGAGAGGAGGGACACAAAAACCAACTGTGCATGCAAAGCACCCAAAAGTACTTTCTCCTTTTTAATTAAATGCAATAAACCCATATAAAAATAGGCTACTTGTCCATATCAGCTCTACATAGAATATACGTTATCTTCAATAAGGGAGAAACAGAAAAATCGTATAAATAATATATGGCTAAAGAGGCACCAAGCCACATAACACGATCCCTATGTCCAGGTGGAATTTCATTAATGTTAACGGGACACTGTAAGAGTTATTTTCCAAAATCAAGGCCTTGATAGGAAACAAAGAAATATATACGGCAATGTACATAAAACTGACATGTCAAGATTGTGAATAGAATCGATAAAGAGTTTTCTTTCTTCTTTCTGGTACCTGGATTCTGGCATCAGGCAAAACACGCTCATGAAAACTCCAGGGTTTTTCAGAAACAAGAAAGTAAACAAAGAGGAAACTTGAAAATATAATACAACCAAATTACCTTTTCAACTGGAAAATATGGCACAGTTTCCTCATCACCATCTTCAATAGGAAGCCCTCCAAACACCACATTTACTGTACTGGTGTATATCAATCTAGCGATGTTCCTTTGTTTGCAGGCTGTGGCAAGGTATAAAGTAAATTAGTTTAGTGGAAAATGAAACAATATGGAAAAAAAGTTTGTATGACCTTTTTCTGAGAAACTGTCAAATCTTAAAAAAGCAAATCCTTCCATTTTATGATTGGGTGGTTTAAAATGCAAAGCATATTTAAAGGGAAGACATCAGTGTAGAACCAAATGCTTATAATCGGGCACATCGTGATTTGGATGCTGTAAGCTAACAAACACTATGCCTCTGGGAGGGCTGCTACCAGCCTACTGAGATGGGCTTCAGCTCGAACCAGGCAGGTGGCTAGAGGTCCATCTGCTTCCAGGGCTGCCCACTACCTGTGCACAAGCTATTAGATAGTAATGAGGTTTACTGCTATGAAATGCACATGGAAATGGTTAACTCCTTACGTGGATACGGATTCTGACACCAGGTCAATCATGGTTACGAAAAGCTGAAGTAGTTGAACTGCAGTGCTGGTGTCATATCACACCCCATAACAGAATCAAGCGTAAAAGAAAAATGATGACATGTTTCCGCGTCTTCTGCCAAAAATGTAAAGTATTTGGTAAAAAACTGTGTGTGCCAAAAAAGCCAACTCCTTTTTCTAAGTGGTGTGATATTTTGATATGCTGTATTAACATCCAGTGGCAAGGTTAGATACGTACCATCAATGATGAATCTTGTTCCATGAATGTTCACAGTTTCAATCTCTTCTCTATGCAACTACAAAAATAAAGAAATTGTGCATTTTTTAATACATTTTAAATTCAATAGGGGAATGTTATAAATGTCCCCAAATAAAGGTAATGAGTTTAGTGCTTTGATTATAAAAAAGATAATTTAGACTGCTGTTTCAGACTTCAAGAAGTAAAATCATTATTTTTAAACTATGACTGTATTTTTCTTGTATTTTTACAGACTAGCCTGCTTGAAGCAAAGAGAATTGCAGTGTTCTAAACATACATTGCCAGTTATTATATATCTTGCAGCAATATGTTAAATATCCATGTTTCAGTAGCACTTCAGTGACTGGTTGCCGCTACCCAGAGCAATTCCAAGTATGCATTGTTCATCTGCAAACATCTTTGAACGAGCTGTTCTATCCAGCTAAGGTAATTACTGAAGTTCCTTTTATTAAATAAGGTGAGAAAGTGTGTGTGTTTGTAACTCTAATCATAAAAATTGTGGCTCTGAGTCCTACATCAAGTACGTCCTTACAGCTTTTTACCCAATGGCAAACAATTGAGACTTGAAATACAGCCGTTGTTACAGTTTAGTTATGTAAAATAATTTATAATTTTGTTCAGGTTTTATTCCTCCCAGTGACCTTACACCTAGGAGTTCCATGTGAAAGGTTTAGGGAAGGATCAGGGTTTTGGAGGGATCCAGCCTCCCTCGTCTTTCCTTTTGTCCTTGCACAACTTCAGAACTCTTCAATGCCATTTCCAACTCAAAAGCCCTCCCAGGGCGCTGGTGGAGCCTCTATTGGGGAGGAAGTAATTTCACAACTAGGAAAACAGTACTGTAAGCAGATTGCTTGCAGCTAGCACACCAGTTTGAACAGAGCAATTTACCAAAACAGCATGGATGTGGATTCAGGCTCTCAGGACAATTTGAAGGGATAAAATCTAACATGCAGTGTTACAGCATCGAGTCGCTCATTCTCGGTGTGGGCAGTCACACAGAAAAAACCAAAACTGTTTGGACTCACTTGCTCTCTTCCTGACATTCCATATGAAGCTACATGAAACACACAGTCAGCCCCTTCAAAGGCTGCAAATATGGCATCGTAATCCCTTACATCTGCCTGTAACACATAAGGAAAGATAGTTGGACTTGAAATCAAAGCTGCAGGTTAGCATTTGTCATATAGTGGGCTAGCACAGAGGGAATGCATAAATATAATTGTACATCCTGAGTCTGAAAACTAGGTCCATTTCAGTACTTGGTGATAATTTTCTTACATGGACTTTAAAAACATTAATTAAGCCTCATAATACCCCTATGTTCATTCTACAGGTGATTAAACAAAGGCACAGATGAGGGCGGTGACTGGGTCCTGAGGAGTACTTCAGGGTCAGGAGATGGAGCAGGTACTCTGTGCTACACATTACAGGTTTCATTGTTTTCCTTATTTTAAGACACACTAAAACCAGTTGACCAAAAATCACATGGGATATTCACACAGTTAAAAGTTACTGAAATTTGTAATAATTTGCAATTAGGTATTTGGAATCTGTGAAAACTAGTAAGACATTATGGAGAAGGCAAATGAACTAACTTTGACTGTTGTGAAAATATAGTTTATCATACCTGGATACACACTACTCCATTGGGAATTTCCCAGACAGGCTTGTGTATGTCATACAGAACAACAGAAGCTCCTGCGTTGGCAAGAGCACATCCCAGCTTGTATCCAAAATAGCCTCCGCCTCCTGTCACCACTGCTCTCATTCTTTTTTCACTCAGTGCTCCAGCATTTCCATTCACTTTGGAGTTAGAGGTTTGGCGCCAGGGTGTTGCTACCCCACTCAGTGTAAGTTTTCTGTCAGTGAAATACTGTCTTCTATTACCAGACACATATAACAATTTCTCCTCCATGTTGAAAATTGCTCCATAGTGCTCCTGGATGCAGACAACTCCAGTGAGTTTCATGTTAACAAGCTCTATTCACAGCAGCCAAGTTTTACTTTAATGCAACCTGTTTAAGAGAGATAAAAACATAAGCAAAACACTAGCTACAAAATCTCCAGATTTTAATGATTTCTTTTAAAAGACCCATTTAAATTTTCTGCTTAGATTGTTTAAGAGTTTGTTTAATTGTAATTTTCACATTTTACAAACATTTAAGATGTCTGTATACTATGTTAAGGACAGCATTCTGAAAACAAATAACAAAGGTTTAGCATGTTTTGGACTAAATATTTATTTGCAAATGGTATCCAGAATAATAAAAGAAAAACTAAAAAAAAAAAAAAAAAAAAAAAAAAAAAAAAAAAAAAAAAAAAATTAATGCAGAGACCATGAATTCAAATGTTTTCAACCAATGGGTCAAAATTAGAATAACAGCACAGACCGTAATTGTTTATTAGCAGAAGAGAAATTGCTGCCTATGTGAAATGCATCTCCTGGTCTTAGTTCAATTTGTTCTGGTCTGCGTCACAAGCTCAAAGATGGCCTTTAGGAGTTGGATGTGACAGAGGCCTGTACCTGAATTTGAAATCTTGAACAGGAAAACTCCAACGATGAACAAATCGCATTGAAGTTTCTGTGCTTAAAAAACAAGCAAGCAGGGCCAAGCACAACAGCAGCAAAACAAAACGTCCCCTAGAGCAAAAGAGATCTTTAACGCTTCTTCCACTTGTCCCTGGTTTATCACAAAGACAGATGTCTGAGAAAAGTGGTATTTTCAACTCCTTTCTAAGTAGCAGCAGCTGAGTGTAAATTAAGAGTACACTGTGTTTTTATCATTGGCAGTGATGGAGTTGAGATACATGAGGCTTTCAGAAGGAAGGAGGAATGCCTGATACTTGCTTTGGAAGGTGTATCAGAGAACAAGGCTATCGAATCCCTCACTTTCGAGGGGAACTAAAGTAATTGCTACGTGACAGAAAGGGTCAACGAGTACGCCAAGAAAAAAGTCAGAGCGAATCATTTCCTGCGTAAACACGGAGGTTCCTTCCCACCCATGCAGTGGTCAAGGGTTCACCTCTGACAGACGAGGCATTTCAGAGGCCGTAGCAACCCATCTCCTTAGTTACCCGCGTCCCTTCCCCGTGCCGCAGTTAAAGATTAAAAGTCACCCGAGCTCCTGCGGGAACTCTCCGCGTCTCACTTGCAAATTCCCCAGGGCAGGCGCTGCCCGGGGAACGCGGGGCCGGGCGCCGAGGAAACTCGTGCCCCGGTCCGCGCCCTCGGGGCTCCTCACCGCCGGCCCGGCC